AGCGCGGAGATTCGCATAAATAAATGTCTAATAGAGCCTTAAACTAGGTTCTAGAAGGAGAGTGGACAACCGTTGGAGGAAGCTCATTCCACGCAGCTACTACCCGAAATGGGAAAAAATTTGCCTAATGAATATATGTCCTCTGAGCTTGAAAAATTTCTTACTATGTCCCCACCGTGTGTTTTCCGGGCCAACGATGGAAAAAATGATGAACAGGCTTTGTTCATACAGGGCATAAGTAAGAATTAGGTCCCGTCGGAGGCGACAGTACTCCAGGGGAAAGAGATCAAGCATCGCGAGACGCTTTTCGTAGTCCACGGATTTGAGGCCGGCAACCACTCTCGTAGCAGCTCGCTGAACACGTTCATTGAGGGTGATGTCTTTCGCGCGTCCTGAGTGGACAACTTGGTTGGCGTACTCCGGGAGTGGTCTGACGTAAGCCCCATAGAGTATTCGGAAGTCCGTGCTAGTAATACGGGAGAAGGTGCGCCGAATCACCCGTAAAATGGCGAAAGCCTTTTGGGCCAATCTCATGGTGTGGTGAGAAGGACAAGTTTGAGTAGACCCAGATACCCAGATCCTTTTTGGCGTCTATCCTCATGGTGTTTTCTGTTTGTTTCTCACTATGCACGGCAAAGGCATTCGCTGAGTCTCTTCCAGGTGACATATGGACGCACTTTTCGTCATTCAGAGGATGGTGCCAGTCAACGACCATTGCTGTCTGGGAGGTCGTTGGCGTAGATCAGATACAGGAGTGGTCCCAAGACGGAGCCTTGAGGAACTCCTATGTAGACCAGCGTTGGAGAAGAGTAGACCGAACCTTTTCTCATGCGGAATGTTCTGTCTGATAGGAACGCCTTCATCCAGCAAACGATTAGCCCTTGAATCCCGTAAGACTCGTGTTTTTGGAGCAGCGGGACGTGTGGGACCCTATCAAATGCTTTTGAGAAGTCGAAAAATATGGCATCCGATATGAGTCCTTCGTCCTTGGCTTGGGTTAAGCTGTCCATAAACACGAGCATGTTTGTTACGCAAGAACGGTTTGGGAGAAATCTGTTGAGATGGAGATATCAGATAGCTGGAAGTAAGGTGATCTAGCATAGCTCGCTTCAGAATGAGTTCCATCACCTTGCACGGCATGCTAGTGAGACTTATAGGTCTGTAGCTGCCAGGCGATAGTCGGTCACCAGTTTTGTAGATTGGCGTGACAATCGCTTCTTTTCAAGAAGAGGGAGGGCGACCTTTGTAAAGCGACTGACGAAACACCAGGTATAAATGATTTGCCAGTGTAGACGACGTTTCCTTCAGGATCCTTGGATGGACCTCGTCGGGCCTCAATGCCCAGAATGGGTTGATCTTGTGCAAGAGTTGAGTGTCCTCCACCCTGAAGACTAATTCGGCCAGAGGCTGTTCGTAGTTCCGCCTTGACAAGAGTGGATGTGACGAGGACGCTGGGGTATATTGTTTTCTGTGAACCTCAGATACCACTGTTGGGTCATTTGTCGGTTCTCCGGTTCTGTCCCTCAAGGAGAACGCGGATGGCTTATTTCTGCGGCGATGTCTCACGTATATGAACGAGACGTTTTCGATTTTTCGAGCGAGGTCCAGAATGGTGGATTGTTTTTGTATGTTCCATTGGCGGATTTCCGATTTACAGTGGTTCCGCATTTTACGAAATGCCAGCTCATCTTCTGTATCCCCTGTAGTCAACTTTTTGAAAGAGTTGAGGCCTTTTCTCCGGCAGTCGCCGAATCGTTTTTGGCATCCTGCGAGTGCGTGCCGGTTTTTTGGGACGAACGTCTCGTCAGCCTCGAGAACTTTCTGGACAATGGTCCTATATAGTTCTTCCACCGGAGCTGGTCCCAGTGTCAACGGCTGGCTGAGCTCCAGTTATGCTTTTTTTGACGATTATGTTGGTGATTCAATTATTCTCGGAGTTAATCAGCTTCCGTGGGCATTGTGAGATTAATTTGGCCATGTACAAAGACTACAAGACCTAAAGTCAATTCTCAGTCCTAACCTCACTGATGTTTCCAGCAGTAGAATATCCGAGGGAAGGAAGTGCGTACCGAACAGCCCAAACGGGTAAAAAGACATATAATACATGTTGTATTCAAAGTACTCGTATGCATGTGGGAACCTGGACACCACCAGGTAGCGGCCTTAGCAACCATCACCAAGCGGCTACAGGGACTTTGTTGTGTCAGCCTTTTACGACCAATCAGAAGGCGACTTGTTGCTGCACGTGCTCCACTCCTGTCCAATCACACGCGAGCCGGCTATTAGCCTTTGCATCGCCTAAGTGCCAGCGTCAAGACGAATTTCTCCTGGGATTCTGTCTGACGAGCCCTGGGGTATTTGACACACCAGCGGTGCACACGTTTACACCTCGCGTTACGTCATTTACGGTACGACACTTGATTAAACGTTTTCGGTGCCCACCAGAGTGATTCGCGGATTGGTACACAGAATCGAGGATTTTGCCCAAGTTTCCCGGGTGGGGTTTGTTCTTGTCGTTTACCTGAAAGGCACGCGTGAAAAAAGGGTGTGGCACTGCTCTGTATGTTCTCAGCGTGGGGTAGTATGCTTGCCAGCGGGAGGATTCGCATCAAAAAATGTCTAGTAGTGGTTTGAACTGGGTTCTAGAAGGAGCGTGGACAACCGTTGGAGGAAGGTCATTCCACGCAGCTACTACCCGAAATGAGAAAAAATTTGCCTAATGGATGTGTTCGCCCTGAGCATGAAAATCTTCTCATCATGTCTCCGCCGTGTTTTTTGGGTCAATCGTGAAAAACCTGTTGGCTAAGCTTTGTTCATACAGAGCATAAGTAAGAATTAGGTCCCCTCGGAGGCAAAGATACTCCAAGGGTAAGAGATCAAGCACCGCGAGACGCGTTTCGTAATCCACGGATTTGAGGCCGGCAACCATTTTTGTAGCGGCTCGCTGGACACGCTCAACGAGGGTTACGTCTATCGCGCATCCTGCATAGACAACTTGGTTGGCCTATTAAAAGAGCAGCCTGATGTAGGCTGCGGTGAGCATTTGGAAGTGCACGTAAGTTTTACGAGAGAAAGTACGCCGAATGCCTCCTGGGCATGGTGCAGTGAGAGGGACATGTTTGAAGGAAGCCAGATAAATAACTCCTTTTTTGCGTCCATCCTCGAAAGCCGTTCAGGTTTATTCTCACCATGCAAGACAAAGACGTTCGCCGGGTCTCCTCTGAATGATACGTCGACAAACCTTTTACCACCTATAGTAAGTTACCAGTCCAGCGACCACTAATTTGCAACGTCTACATCCACTTGGAGGGCACTGGCATTAGTGCTACAGGATTTCAAGCCGTCCGCAAAATGTATACATGAACTTGAAGAACATGTGGAAGGTCACTGACCTGCATCAGAACAGCAGTGGTCCCAAATCAGAGCCTTAAGGAACCACAATGGAGGTCAGCGCTGAAGGCGAGTAGACCGGGCATACTTTCACTCGGAACCATCTGTCTGATGGAAACGCCTTGCACCAGTGTAAAACTTTCTTTTGAGTCCAGTAACTCGGGTTTTCGGATCATCGGAATGTCTGACTCGATCAAATGCCCTGGAGAAGTAAAAAATAAGGCATCCGATATGGGTCCTTCGTCCTTGGCCTGAAAAAGCTGTCTATAAACATGAGCATGTTTGTGACACAAGAACGGTTCTGTTGAGATGGAGATATCAGATAGCTGGAAGTAAGGTGATCTAGCATAGCTCGCTTCAGAATGAGTTCCATCACCTTGCACGGCATGCTAGTGAGGCTTATAGGTCTGTAGCTGCCAGGCGATAGTCGGTCACCAGTTTTGTAGATTGGCGTGACAATCGCTTCTTTTCAAGAAGAGGGAGGGCGACCTTTGTAAAGCGACTGACGAAACACCAGGTATAAATGATTTGCCAGTGTAGACGACGTTTCCTTCAGGATCCTTGGATGGACCTCGTCGGGCCTCAATGCCCAGAATGGGTTGATCTTGTGCAAGAGTTGAGTGTCCTCCACCCTGAAGACTAATTCGGCCAGAGGCTGTTCGTAGTTCCGCCTTGACAAGAGTGGATGTGACGAGGACGCTGGGGCTGAATATAAAAGCGTTCAGCTGCAACACCCTTTCGGAGCCCAACGGCCATGCCACCCGAAGGTTGCACGAGGGCTAGGATACTGCCAGGTTGCCCAAGCCTAGATAGGAGAAGTCGAGATGCAGGGGCCTGGTTCTAACCACTGACCTACCGGTCAGTAAATTCGCGCTCTAACCAGTGAGCCATCTAGCCATCCTTCCGCTGTAGCTGGCTGTCGCACGGAACTGTCCAGGCTTCATGAATATGCCAGTGCCCTTGTTTGGAAGCCATTAAATTCGAGAGGTGAACCAGGTGACATAAAACACCGGTTTCAACCACAGTTCAGATCATACTCTTATTCTTCTGTTACCTTTTCGCTGCCAACTACCTTGCATCCCATATTCACTATGAGTGAAGCGCCCACCGCCTGGGTGGAATATCAGATAAAACTTGGATTTGGTCTTTTTTGCCGTATCCCTTTCAGGTCCTATTCACTTCGCGTTCGAACGGCCCCATAACAGTTAAACCTTAGTAACAAACTCACGCTGAAAACATGTATGAATTCAAATTAACAACTTTTGGAGTCAGAAGACCGCTCTCAAAATGGGGTGTGCAACGATGACTTATGAACCACAAATCAATCAGGAGGGGCAGTCGATCAGCTCATGGAGACCCTCACACAGCTATGAATGCTCGTACTGATCCTCTGGAAAAACAAAAGCCAGTTGGATGGACAAAATATGTCAATCCGGTGAAAAATCAAAATTACCCAGCTACCAACCGTATGCTTCACTCTGGTGCGTTTCTGTTTCTGATGTTTTATTACAGTTTTCTTATGAAGCTGTCTAGAACATTCATTATCAGAGGGCGGTAATTTCCTTGAACAAGAGATATAAATCACATGTGGAATAATTATCTGACAGGCTTCTCCGTAACGATCCCCTCTAGTTCGGCCATTTGGCTTCGCAAGATATTCACACGTATCAGGCTACTGTTCCCCCCACTATTCAATCACATCTTCAGTACACTCTATTACTCTGCCTTTTCGAGGTCGTTTTCAAGAGAAAAAGACTGTTGCACTGTTCACTTCCTCATAATAGCCACTGACACGTAAGTGATCCGAATAAGGGGTGGTGAACACAGTACCACCAGATCGAAACGTTCCTCCACAAAGCATTTTGGCACTTCACATGTGCACAGCTTCACCTCGTGGTATTTGTCACCTGCCTCGTTTCATGAACCGGTTAGTGCATGAATTCAGACTGCAAAAGAATCAGTGTAAAATGTTTTTTTAAAAGACTGAGCACTGACCACCAGATGAACACCCGTGGTACTTAAATCGGTTTACTTTGTAGCAGGTCGGGGATTGTCAATTATTCACAGTCGAGGCCTGGTTTTGTCATCGGGTATAGGCAAAATCGAACCACCTTGTGTGTTTACAAAACAACTAACCTTACGGTGCAGGTGATACATTGTACGAAACGCCGTAATATCAGTGAGTTTTCTTTATTTTCCTCACTTTCGTTCAAGTTCCCGGCCATCCTCCACCAGATATGATTCTGTGTGCACAGAACTCCCATGACGATCTCCTGAAAGGCTGCGAGGTGATATTCAGGCCAATCCAAACTAAATTCGGAAGCTAGCACATTTTCGAGTATTCGAAGTCGTCCATGTATCAGTACTAAAAGTTGAAGTCTTCGCATAGTACCACTAATTTACGTGTGAGTTTCGGCCTTACATGTCACCATGCATCCAGAACTTCCGCGTGGGCCCATCCACGGTATCAAACGAATCGCTTTCAGTTGTATACGGACGTTATCACTACATCACGCATGTATTACACAAGTCTGTGTTAGGACATTGTGATGACCAGAGATCCGGAAGCAGGGATAATGACCTCATTGGTGGACAACAGTATACCAATAGTGGTGACGATTGTTGACGAAACGTTTGAAAGCTAACTGCCAATCTCGGTTAACAGGACAACTACCAGCAAACGCACCCAAGCTACTAATATTTCGATGCATTCCCAAGCACGCAGAGAATTCGGATTCTGCATGAATATTCGCGCCGCCGGCTGTTGATTTACCCAGTATATTTTGTTCAGGACGACAGTGGACAGATAACCTAATTTCATCTTTTCAACAGTAGCAGCGCGATTATCCGTGCTCCCCCTGAATCATCCCTTCAACAGGCATGTGTGTGGAAGACGCTGCACTGACGGCTCGTTATTCTGTTCGATAGGCAGCATTATAAGTCCCTCGCAAGTTTGTGAGGTTGCACAACTTGACAGTGAGTCTGGCTAAATATCCCGTTCGTGCGATATTCATGGTCAGGTGTATTCATTTGTACAGACGATATGCAGAGGTGTGGGATTGTTTGGTAAAGTAGACTGGACAGTTGGTTCGGTTGGAGCTTCCTACTTCACACTTTTCGTGGCTGAATTTAAGACAGAGACCTTCATCTTGTGGCACTACATAGAACTGTATTCAGCCATTCCTTAAAGCTCAGTCACACGGAAGGGCCCCTTTGAACTTCTAGGAACGCTCTATCGTCGGCGACAGCTCACGCTTTTGTGGTTTGCCTTCGGAGGATGGAGTACAAATGTATGTTTCCGATAATACCTCGTTAGGCCTTCATATTGCGACTGTTCAGATCGCCAAATATTTACAGTGAAAACAGCTGAAGTGTTTTGGCCAATAGAGAATTGGTGCACTCAGTCTTGTAGCACTCGTTATGTGAGCCATTCTTACACCTAAATCACTTACGGTTTGCCGATAGTATAAGAAGATTTTGGAAGTGTACGAATTACAAATAACTTGTACGGCAAGCGAAACTCCAATCCAAGAAGTCGCCACTCGAGGATGGAGGTCGAAGTGGCTGAGTCGCGCTATGTCCTGTCTATAAACAAACTAAATAAACGGTTGAGCTGTAACAGCCTTTCAGTACCTAGCTGCCATGCCACCCGAAGAAAGCACGAGGGCTGGGATACTGCCAAGCTGCCCAAGTCTGGACAGGAGAAGTGGGGATGAAGAGGTCAGGTTTGCACCTCGAGCCTTCCGGTCAGCAAATTTACGCTCTAACCACTGAATCATCTCGCCCCATGTCCTGTCTGAACTCAGTTAAGCACAATGCTGACCATCCGAACGGTTTAGCCTTCGAATGGTACAAGGGAGGTTGCGGGTCCGAATCTCTGGGATTCGTGAGTTGCGTGCTGCTTACGCATCCTAATAAGAACGAGACAGATGTACAACACTCTTCGACATAGATTGACTTCGCTTTCAGGACCAACTCGACAAAATGCCAGCCCGTCGCGCTACATATGTGACGCCTTATTGTCATTTCTCAGGCTGGATGGTGGATGTTCCTTTATTCTTTAGAATAGCTGTCGTTCGACCAACATCTTCAACTGCGCAAAAAAGGAATGTACTGTCACATTTTTGGCTTTGACTGGCATTTGGTCTTCCATGTTAATAGTGGACTACCCATGAAACAGTAACGGGGCGCGGTGACAGGGGCCGCCCTGTTTTGTGAAGTCTAGTGCTTTTGTCAGCCTAACTGGATAGCACTTTTGAACGGAAAGTTAGGATGTGAAATCTCTTCCGTAGCGAACTCTTGTTGTGCCTTGGAAAAGGCCATTTCTTTTGACATTGTTTTCGGTTATTCCAAATTTAGAACATCTTTGAGGCATATTCTAACTGTCCTACTAGTTAAGAAGTGACTAGGCTATCGCCGCTGCTTCGAATCTATGTCTGATGTTTCACTCTTTGCCAATATCACTGGTGGAAAAATTGAAGTGCTATCCGATTAACGCGAAACTATCAGTTACTATGGACTTGGTGGATCGTTTCCCCCCCCCCCCTACACTAAAACGGTCATGTTTCCAGCAGAACAACTTAGTTCTGAATGCAGTTCACCGTTTCTTAAGACTGACTTGATACATCTCATGTACAGTAGAGGAGCTAGATCTGATACGAATGCCCTTTCCACTCAGTGCTCGTTTCAGAAACCCTGTTAGCAGTTTTTCGAGAACTCAAGTTGTGAAATCAACCTGTGATGTGAGCCATTTACGCATGTTGATTTCTGGTCGAGCTTTATCTTCTACGGGGTGTTTTCCCGAATAAAACTAACTTCTCAGTTGAGGGTTTGCATCAGAGTAGATTCTATCTAGTTTACTGATTCTCTGCAGCTCGATTCCACTTATACTTGATTATCCAACTCCAATGAAATCGATTTTTTCACTATCAGATCTGTGGCGAAATTCAGAATGTGTGAAACCAATGAACGCGGGCATTTCTGCGCAAGCCATGGATACCAAATGTGGTCAGCGATCTCCACTTCCTGCGTTGCCAGAAGCCCCACTTGTCTCTGTAAGCAACGGGACCAATTCGCGGCCCTCAGAACCGTCTGATTCTTCCACTTCAATTAGGTGTACATGCGAACTCAATACTCCGGAGCGCTGTAGCCGCTTGAACTTCAAAGCACGTGGGAGCTCTTGGGCTGCTCTGTGGTGTGCACAAACTGGTCACACTGAATGGAATTGTATGGATTCAGACAACGATGTGAATACGGTGGATATAAGGTATCACATGGATCTGCTTAGCATTTCCGGTCGTAACCTACAGCCGTTAACGGAGTCCAATCACCAGGAAGTAGAACCCAATTCAACCCAGTTCCGTGACTTCACTTCTTTTCAAAATCCAGACAGAGAACGTAGACGGGAACGAAACAATAATCGTACTTTCAAGGCTTCTCCGTGCTCAAGCCACTCAGGAAACCGCATTACCCAAAGACATGGTCAGCCAGACAAAGCATTGGCTTGTCTCGTCGGACAAAAGTGCAAACTTCCTTCCAAGCCACGGACCCTACTTGAATCGTATACTAAGACACCTGCTTTCACAAGATTACCTTTCGTTCAGGGTACGACTCGCCTAAAGTATACAGGTAATAAAGTGAGCTTCACTTCTTTTCAAAATCCAGACAGAGAACGTAGACGGGAACGAAACAATAATCGTACTTTCAAGACTTCTCCGTGCTCAAGCCACTCAGGAAACCGCATTACCCAAAGACATGGTCAGCCAGACAAAGCATTGGCTTGTCTCGTCGGACAAAAGTGCAAACTTCCTTCCAAGCCACGGACCCTACTTGAATCGTATACTAAGACACCTGCTTTCACAAGATTACCTTTCGTTCAGGGTACGACTCGCCTAAAGTATACAGGTAAGTAAAGTGGATCCACTTGTTAGACACAAGTTGCTACAGGTTATAGAAATAATGTCCTGTGAATGGGAACAATAAGATTTCCAGTTTTTTGTTTGTTGGATAAGCTTTGCGACTGGACTGTAGCCTATTCAAAATTTGCCGCTTGCTAGATTGGAGATTGTCGCTTACTTTGTCGAAACAAGGGCGTTGCTCGACTACCAAATCAAGTTTGCAACGATAGTCGGATAGGCGGCTTAACAAGGGCTTTCGAGCTTCCCCACTTTGCATGCTCCAGATGAAGGCATCACCTCCAAAGCATTGATACTAGTGTTTAAGTATAAACTCAGCTCTTAACCTGCTCCCCCCTATGAGCCAAAAATGAGGACGCGCAGTATGCTCGGATTCTGTGCACCGGTCGGAGTTAACAGCATGGCAGGGCATCTTTGTGGACCGTTTGGCGACTAGCCGGTAGGTCGTAAAGCCCACAAAAACCAAACACTCTGCCCTAGAACCGCCATCTGGCTTGAGACCCACTAGCCCCGACTTCCGATGACAGGTCATCTGTCACATTCTGAGGCTCGAGAAAGCTCAGTGGTTAAGGCGCCAACTTATGGACCGGAAGGTCCGTGGTTCCAACCCAACATCAGCATCTCGACAGCTCCTATTAGGGGTGGGCAACCTCGCAGCAACCCATCCCTCGTGCTTTCCTGCCGTTGTTATAGCAGCTAGGCGCTGAAAGGGTGCTACAGTCGAAGTCGAATATGAATACAAAGCTGAGAGAAACTGCCACACTCATCGCTGAAAGGGTGCTACAGCCGAAGTCGAATATGAATATAAAGCTGAGAGAAACTGCCACACTCATTGCCGTTGAGCTTCAGGAAGGACGAAACGGATTGTGTTTGTCAAGAACGTGTGTTCAAGAACGTGATGAGTAATGTTCTGGCACGAAAATGTACTATAAAATTTTTATTATCGTACCAAATGAAACGTGAGGCGGTCCCAATGTAACACATTCAGTTGAGGGTTGTCATAAATGAACGGTTCAGCTGTGACTAAGTCAAGTCTGTCCTGAAAACCGAATTGGAATGCAAGTGAGGCTAGTTGGCAAACCCACAAGTTGTTTCTCTCTGAGTGCAGTAAATCTGGGTACAAATGGCAGCATTGGTTGTAATCAACAGCCAGAAGATGAGCGTCAATGATTCTGTTATCTGTACAGCAGGGAGTGCTCTATGGATGAAGATTGCGTCAGTGGATTGAGCGAACATTTGATCCACCTACCTAAAGAAGGTTTGCTGGATCCAGAAGTTATCGATGATCTAGCAACCTTTTCACATCGATCCGTCCCAGGCAATATACATTGATGGTAAGCGTCGCTTATGATTCGGACAGTCTGGTCGAAATATGGTTGGTTCAGTACCGGGTGGCATTAAGTGAAGTGAGAATCCCGGAAATGAAATGATGGTTCGTCTGGGGTATACCGACCTCATGTTTGAGGGTAAAGTCTCCGACAAAACCCAATCACCAAAGCCTAAAAAATGTCGAACGGGAGAAAACGAACTGCTTGGGAGTGAATACCTTCTTTGGCCTTGTATTAATTGCTGGTGCCTACAAGGATTATGAATTAGCTTCGCTAGCTCAGTGGTTAAGGCGTCAACTTACTGCCCGGAAGGTCCGTGGTTTGCACCCAACCCCAGCGTGGACAAGTTAGCAGTATCTTGGCCCTTGTGTTTCCCTCGGGTGGTATGGTACCTAGGCACCCAAAAGATGTTTCGACTGAACGGCGGTGATTCTGAATAACCTTACGAGAGAATTAAATAGGGTCAGATTTTCCCCATACTACTGTGAATGTCAATATTGACTTAGATTTGGATTTTACTCAATCGCCAAAATAAATAGCCTCTTCGGAGCTGTTTGCCTAATTCACGGTGTGACAAGCTAACTGCTGAGTGCGAACATACACATCTTGTCTTGGATTTATCACGAAGAGGTAATTTTGCTAGATAAGTAGAAATGATATGGCTTAAAGACCATTTGTCAAGGAGTACATGCTTTGGAACGGATCTAACCTGGATACCCAGTGCTGTCCCAATCGCCTATATGGACTCGGACAAGGTCCGTGTACTTTCTCAAAGGTTACTCATCCTTTCACCTATCTGCTCTTATCACGTGATCTAGACCCGGTCAGTGACCGCCGTGATGCGCCGGTAAATCAGGTGCTATGAGGCTGCTACAGCTGCTATCGAAATTAGCGTCATGCCAGAAAGGTTACTCATCCTTTCACCTATCTGCTCATATCACGTGATCTAGACCAGGTCACTGACCGCCGTGGTGCGCCGGTAAATCAGGTGATATGAGGCTGCTACAACTGCTATCGCAATTAGCGTCATGCCAGGCATGCCTCACCAAGACTTACACCCGGCAGCCTACTGGCTTACGTACCAGAAATGATCTACCACCAATCATATATGTGGAGTAGGGTTTAGTAATCGTGACTTTTCACCCAATCATGAACAGCCATAGACACCTATCTCGTCTCTACGGTGTCTCCGGTCAGCGCTCCTCGCCGTAGGGCCCGAACAATAGTCCACTGGATCCGTTTTGGTCACAAATCCATCGAGCCATCATTTTGCGCAACTGGTTTTTTGTTAGATCGGTGGTATTCGCTCTCTTTGGTGCGATCCTTAATCCGACCCGGCACCTTATATCAAGCTTTGCCCTCGGTAATGAAACGAGCACTGTTCGTCTATTTCAGATGCCTCACCCCACTATACTGATCCTATGAACGGAGCAACGGATCAATTCCTCAATCGCATTCAAACCCTTCTGTACTTAGAAGAGGCCACGAAGCGTTGGGAACGGTCTCAATGGCGGCGCAAGTGGAAACGACGAAGATCACTGAATACAAGTGAATGACCTAGCTGGAGGTCTCACACTTGCCACTGTCTTATTCAATGCTGGGGATCGAGAACTTCACGGATGGATCGCACTACTCTTCGCAGCTTCCGGACGAAAATGTCTCCCAGGAGGATGGCCAAATACATCCGTTTTTTCTCCGGATGCTTTTGATTTCATTTCGGACTGTTGGTGGGGCAAAGCTGTACAACTGATCCCCAATAAGAAGGAAGACTCTGAAAACTGCTGAAAGTTATCCTCATGCTTTGTCTGTTCTTCCAAGTTCAGTTATTACCAGTACAAGCCCCGTTAACCACTCATATGTGGTAACGTCTAATTTGATATCAGCCCACCTGTATTTTTCTCAATGATTGGACTTGTTTGAGGAAGTTGAGCTGTGTGGGAAATTTAGATGTTCGTAGGCGAACTCCGAAGCAAGCGTCTTCCCCTAAGTGAACGTTGTGGGTGTGTTCGGAAAGCACTGTACAGTCAGTAATCTTGGTTCTATTCCACCATGGCGTGGAACCTCCACTTGCGTCTGTATTTTCACACTCATTAGCATGCGTTAGATTCCATTACATGTCATCTCATCGCAAATCTCCAGAATTCAGTTTTTGAAATAACTGGCCCGTACGTATCCACCCTTGATCATGATTGCTGGAGATCGTTGAGGGAATGGGGTCATGGGATGCCAGAACCAGAAGCCTGAGAAAGATTCGAGCTTAACGCACTAATTTACATTGGTTTCGTCTAGGTTTATGCTTCTTGCACCCACATCGCACCACACTATTTCTGATTTCCCAGAGACCATCACGAATGTTTGGTTCTTCGAATTCGATTCATGATGGAGTTTGCGAAAGCAGCACAAAAGATCGCTTGTTGGAAAACCATCCAAGAGCTGAGGATATGTACTATTAGACAGGAGATGCCTACAAACCTCTCAACACCGGTATGCATATGAAAATTAGGGTTACAGTCGTTCAAAATGAGCTACGATTAGGTGCCCTAATAAACCTTCCCGCTGTTGTAGCCTTTCCCAGCCAGATACAGTGCACTTTCGAGCACGCCAAAGGTCATCAGTCTTATGCTTCAATTGACAGTTCTCACTCAGGTTCCGTTGGTCACAGTTCAGCGTGTAACTCTGTCTGGTTGCTTGGTGTGAATGAGTTGGATTGTGGGATTCGGAATGTATGCATAGAGAGCTCAGGGGTCAAAGCATGAACCCAACTCCAGCAGTTCCACTGCTCCTGTCTAGGCTTGGACAGCCTGGCAGTATTTAAGCCCCTCTGCTCCCTTCGAGTGGCGTGGCAGCTAAGCACTGAAAGGATGATATAGCTGAACGATTATCAAGACTGTTTGATCTGTTCACGAAGCATGGTAATCGGTTTACAAACATTTCGCCATCAGTGAAGGGGACATCGTCCTTTCATGGTCACGTGGACCAGAAGTTACTCTGCGTCGTCAACCACTGTTTTGCACACGAAGTTTGGACTGTTTTCTACGTTCACACCAAACGGTTAGAGCACGGATTTACGGACAGGAAGGTCCATGGTTCGAACCCGACCTCTGTTTCTCGACGTCCCCTGTCTGTGATTGGGCAACCTGGCAGTACCCAGCCCTCGTGGCATGGCAGCCAGGCACCGGAAGGATGTTACGGCTGAACAGCTTCGCATAACCCCAAAACTTCCTCATGATATCCGGGTGACTAGTACCGACTACTTCTCAAGTTCAATAGTTTCTTTTCCGATAGAGAGGCCCAAACTAGCATAGTAACAATAATAATCGTTCATCTGTATCACACTTCTGTTGTCTAGCTACTGTCTTGAAATGGTGTTGGCGCATGTTGATGCTCCTATAGCATGGTGCGTGTTTTCTCCAGGTTGGAACAGAGAATCACTTGGTCTCGAAGGAAATATTCTTAGTAATAGCACAACTCCTATAACCTGATGGCACACCAGCCAGCTTCACTCAACTTACCAGTGTTTCATTAACATGTTTGTTCGGGCTCTAGATAGCTCGGTGGTTAAAGCTCGATCATACTGACCGAATGGCCCGTGGTTCGAACCCAGCCTCCGCATCTCAGCTGCCCCTTTCTAGGCTTTGGAAAACTGGCAGCATCTCAACCCTCGGGTGCGGCAGTAGCTAGGCACCTCAAGGATGTTACAGATGGACAATTCTTTTTTTATCAATATGCTTGTGCACTCACTGATTCATACCTTGCTCTGTGCAATGATTGGAGCAAGCATTTACCTAAGAATTTTCAGCAACTTTATGAGTAGTGCATTATGTATCTACAAGCATTTCCCTACTTTTACCGTGCCCATGGTCAAGGTAGGTAACAGTATTCTGTTTGTGCTGAAGTCTTGTACCAACAACCGTGAGGACACATTAAGGCGTCCGTATTAGAGTGATATGGTGTTTTGTCACTAAGCTTGCGTTAGAAATGGACAAAAACAAATCAATTTGAATCCCCATGCGATACAGCTCGGGTAAGTTCAGCTGTAACACCCTTTAGGTTCCTAGACGCCATGTCACCCGAAAGAAGCATGAGGTTTGGGATACTGCTAGGCTGTCCAAGCCCAGACGGGAAGTCGAGAGGCAGCGGTCGGGTTTCGAACCACGGACCTTCCGATCCTTAAATTCGCGCTCTAACTGCTGAGCCATCTCCTCAACTCGGGCAAGCAAGCGCCATGGGCCTGATGTAGCTGACAATGGAGATAACTCGAAAGTAAAGACCATACACCATGGAAAAAAGTGTGATCCAACATGACTACGTCATCTATTGGACTAGTGGTTACTACCGAAAATTTGAGAGCACCAAAAAATTGTACGGGATCTATAGTGTTATGGTCACATCTCACAGAGATGGTATAAAGTACTGCAGTCACCCGCATTAGTAAGCGTGCTTCAGTCGATTGCGCACTTTATCGTCATTCCGTTTATCTGCACTTTGACATTTGAGACCATACTCTATCGATCTTGAAAGCCATGCTATCTGATTTACGTTGAAATGAGACAATAGACCTTGAGTGCGCTGGCTACACAACTCTAATGGATCCCACTGAGTTGGTGGTCACGCGTGTGTGAATGCTTGATTGCCCACGATATTGCTTCCAGCGACCAACCATGTTTGTCTTTCTTGACTCGGAAGCTGTATTTGACTCATTGAACCGTCAGGGAATTACGAGGGTTGAGATACTGCCAGGTTCCTCAGATCTAGTCAGGAGCAGTGAGGCTACAAAAGTTGAGTTCGATCAAAAGACCTCCCGCTCCTTAGCCACTGAGTTGTGTCCATCTCTGGCATCCGTTCATAGCTTCCACTAATGGTAACCCCCTCCCCAAGGACAAAAGCCCATTCTACGATGCATTTTGTTATTGACCAAGCTCGAGATGGCCCAGTGGTTAGAGCCAGTGTCACGTTTGAGGATTACTCGAGGAACGCTTTTTGATGAAGCAACACGGAGTAATTCATTCGCCACGGAGTTTAGAGCTATTAGTTACGTTTTCATGCTATGTTATTCAGTATACACATCCCATAATTGGTCTAATTTTATATTCATTATCACCAACGTCGAAAGCACAGCATTAGTGTTCATACAGTGTTGCCTCGCTGAAGTACAAGCATAATCTATTTGGAAGCCTTATTGTGAAGACGGGGGTGAAACTTGGTGCTAGCCTATTACAACCACTCTGGGGTGCCTACATCCCTAGGCACTCCTGATACAAAGCGACATGAGGAGCACCACTGACATCGAGTGACCGTCCAGCGTTCAAGAGGTGTGAACTTTTTGACTGGACGATTTGTGATTCGAACCAAACTTTGGCTTCCCGACTGCTCCTATCTAGGGCAACCTGACAAGATCTCAGGCCTTTTGTTTCTTTAGGGTCCCATATTAGCTAGACACCGAAAGGTTGTTGCCGCTCATCGGTTGTCATTCGTTATTTTAGGTGCTATATCTTGCAGCGTCTTCGACCGTGCACGCAGCGCGATCACCATCCTATCCTGAAAAGCGAATCGCACCGGCGGTACCCATACTTTTGTTAATTTCATATTCCTCCCCCTTTTCGAGGGTTTGCCACCTCTCTGCTTGCGGTACTGCTTTCGGTGAATGCTGATTCGGCATGCCCAGTGCATGACCGAACAACGCAAATTTTGCCGCAGGACACACTCTTCGAACGAAGCCTCTGCATAATTTAGTAATGTGTTTCTTTGCAGGAACAACACTGCATTTTCAAACCAAAACGGAAAGAAGTAAACTTTGTTAAGTGTTGTTAAGTTAGGTTGTACTCCGAATGCAGACTCCTGCCACTCAAGGAAGACTATAGGCCTGATTTCCCGAACGGTTTGAGACACATTCCCATTATCCCCACATTTTTCTGTCAGGCTCGCACTCCCTCCTACTTAGGGTTGTGATTTTACTAACCGACAACACTAATTTTGCCATTTTGACCTCGTTTATTGCCGCACTGGGATATCCTGAATTCTAGGCAGTTGTTTCGAATCGTGAAAACCACGTCCACCTTTGGGTACGTCAGTTGAAATCAAACTTCATGTTTACTGAGCTACTTACAGCTTTTCAGTAGTGTCGTTTTATTGCATCATATCTCATTGCAAAACCTATAAGGCTGTTGCTTTGAAAGGCACATTGTGCCATTTTGTAAATCGAGGTAGCCGGGCGCGTAAAGCTGCGCAGTCGTCGAATAAAGGAATTTCTGTTGATATGACCCTGCTTATAAGGATAACCAAAAATCTTGTACAGTCTTTTACCTGTCTCGTCTCTCTGAAGGTCATAAGGTAATGCTGGTCGCCGAACGACCACCAGTCCTATTAAGCATCTGGACAATAATCTGTGAATACTCTACAAAGGACTGCTCTGTGCTGCGGTCGGAACAAGATTAGAGGCACGCGAGCTTCACTCATATGCAGGCTGATTTGGTTTTCATGGTAAGTTCAACCGAATCCTACCTGAATCTCATGTTCAGCCAACTTTTAGTAGTTTCCTTCTACAATGGATTCGAAGAACTTTCCTGGTTTCACATTGCCCGCTGAAAGAGTAGTACAGACAAACAACTAGGTCGAGTCTCCACCTTTATTTTCGATGTTGCGATTATGTGTTAGACGATTAATAGTGATCGTATAAAAACGAATGGTCAACAAAACTCCACGCCAACATTGGATCGCACGTACCCGAATTTCCACCAATATAGAGTACTTGACGACAACAAGATGTTGGTTTTGACAGATATCTCAACCAAATCCAGTTGGGTTTCTCGTTTATGCTTATCTCCTTTGACTAAATGTACTAAACCAGGACGTCCCATGTTTACATTGTTATGATACTCAAGGTATCCTAGTACATTGCCAGCAACCTTTTTAGTAGTATGTTACATTTAGGAAATGCCAGACAACCTCCAGGTAGTACCCGGACACAACAACCGGTCACGGGATTATCAGCAGCACTAAACGCAGTGAAAGCAGATCACCCGTGTGACTAACTCATTTGATTTCTCAGACAGCAAGACAGCAGTGTTTGGCTTCGGACTACTCGAGTAGCCCAAATTTTAAGGCACAGCTCAATGGGTTACTGAAGTAAATCGTCGCACCGCAGTGTGGCCGTTCATTTAAATAATGCTGACTAATTAATTCGGATAGTGACATCTTTTAGGTTGGGTTCACAGATCAGCGTCACCACTGGTTATCCACCATCGGTTAAGACGTCCTGGTGTCGCGTTGGCCTTGGGATAGACTCTCATAAATGCAAGTAGAAAAGGCAATACCCAAAACTTCGTTGGTTTTCGTTGAAATGCGCCAACCATGAACAGCGGTCTTTCGGCATGCTTTGAGATTTTGTGGAACCAGATAACCACTGTCAATTTATGTCACCTAGGAAAAGTGATATGAACAAGGTATGTCGGCTAATGGAACCGTGCTCGACCGCCATGGGGACGAGGATAAACAAATTCGGAATATTATTTTATTACACTCAAAATGTTTACTAGATGTGTACCAGGTGCTGAGTCGGTCGCAGATTAGGAGCAGTTGACGTGTATTGTGTCTTGCTGAACGGTAGTGCAACTCTGTATCGGTCCCTTGACTTCCTGCTCCGCCCACTAGGGTATATCAAAAGGCACGGTAGCTCTACACAGCCCTTTATGGACAAAGGAAAATCATTACAACTGTATTTATAGGGTAGTCACAGAGTGTTCCATAAGGTCGTGCCAGAATCTCCGTGAGGGGGGACGTCGAGTCACAGGTACTTGTCTCGGATTGGCTGGCATTCTGATCAATCAGGGCATGCCTTCTTTTGGTCCGTGTCTTGCACGTGACATGTGTCTAAATGATGTGATGTTCGGTTTGTCGGGACGTCTGGCCTCCGAACACGTGTCACAAGTGAACGGAGAGCAAGAAAACTTGAATAAACAGTCCTGTGATGCAAACACTTAAGGGTGTACTCAAAGCTGTCATGCCCATCGGTTGAATGAAGAATGGGAGTGGCATGAGGAGATCTGGAAAACTGCAACTGAGATTTCCTTTTTGTAAGTGAAGCCAGTCTGTTTTTTGAAAGCCGAGGAGCACTGTGCAGCTGTCTGATAGGCAGTACACAACTCATGAACCACCGGAAGGTTGCGAATTCGAAACTTCCTGGTGTTTCGTGAGATG